CTCTTGGGGAGATTAAGCGTTGGAACTCGAACTCTCTTTTTGGTTGGAGAGAGCTGTGGCGTTTCCCTACTGCCCCGTCGCCATCTTGGTCTCCCCTCTGGCTGTATCATTTTTATATTTATATAGACAAGTTTTTACTTTTTCACATAACATACCATAGATAATCTTAATATTATTTTTTAGATTGCAACTTTTATTGATAGCATTATTTAAAAAGGATTTTGTTAGATATTTATCACTTTTATTATGACAAAATAGTTTTAGCCTATAAAATTACTCTCTATCTCTGCTTCCTTAGGATCATTATTTGAAGTGAATTTTGAGTTTAAAAGAACATTGTTTTTATTGTCATCAATTAGTTGTATGGGGGGCCCATTTTAACTACTCCATTTATGTAAGGGATGATTCTTGATTATAATCACCCCTCTATCATTCTCCTTTTTCACCCATCCTCCTTTTCATACCAGTATCATCAAATTTCCTTGTATACATTAAAGGAAGCATGTTTCATTGTTTTTCTTACCTTAAAGTAGGAAAATATATTTCTGACACTACTAAAATACGCTGCCAAGTTGTAATTCAGGAAGGGAATATGAACTCTTACCAGAATCCCACTTTTTCCTCACTGTTGGCTATAAAGCAGTATTTTCTTAACAATATATAGTAAATCCACTATCTTTTTTTGCAATGTGAATCTGATTAGTTGAGAAATAATATTTATAATGGATTCTAGGGAATAATATTTATAATGGATTTTAGAATAATTATATAAAGTGCAAGAGAAAAGTTGTGTCATTTCAGCTTAATTAGAATAGTTATCTAAAATAACTGTCACTTTCCAAAGGCAATTGTATGTATTTTGGTGACTATTGGGCTAGAATAAAAGACAATTAAGCTCTTTGCAATAATGTTCCTAATTCATTTTTATTACTACCTTATTTTACTTTAATTTTTGTCAAAGGAAACATTTAAAATATCTTGATTCCAAATAGTACATTTTCTTCATCTGCTGAAAAGGACACCCCCATAGATATTGAGCAATATTAAGTCATCTTTCTCAAGACAAACAGAACCATTGCCACTTCTCTACCTCCAATCCTACAACATAATATTAGAATATACTTCTCAGACTTTCTCTCAGAAATTGCCTTCTTTGTATACACTTCAATATCCTAGAACTAAGCCGAAGAATGCTAATAAAGGTAATTTAAGATGAGGCAAATGAATATTGAAGAATCAAAATTTCTGTAACTAGTGTTAGTCATATGTATGTATGTATGTTTGTGTGTGTGTGTGTGTGTGTGTGTGTGTGTGTGTGATTTAACTGTGTTTGCTATATACTCATCCAAAAACAAAACAAAACCAAAAAACAGCCCTACTATCCCTCACATTGAAAAATCTATATGCCAGGTCCTGTTCATCAAGCTGTTGATGTGACCATCAAGATACAACCTTTGCTTTCCCCAAATCACAAATCATTAGGTGCAGCATTAATAGAGTAAATGCCTGTAAAAGATGCAATGTGGGCTTAGAAGACAAGATTAGCTAGTTGCCTCGATGGGCACACAGGTAATGTTTTATTAACACTCTGAAGAATGAGTAGAGTGAGTAGAATTTTGGATAGCTTTTCTGGTAAGAGAGTAGCAATGTGATGTTCTAGGCAGGAACAACATATGAACAGAGTCGGAGTCAAAGAATCCTATAATCTTTTGAGGGTCCTTTTGAGTTTGAGTTCATGAAGGGCTCTGCAGGTTATGTTAAGAACATTAGAAATCTTTACTTCAAGGGTCAGACTTGGCACTAGAATGGGGTAAACTTGTAACGGGTTCTGATAACTCACCTATGAATCTGATGATCCTTCGTAATAATGGGTTCAGGTAACAGCATTCTCCAGTTAGAATTGTTTTCTCCTCAGCAAGCAGGGATTCCCTCGTTGACTTTATGAAATACATGGATAGCTCGCCAATAAAAATCTGGGGGAGGAATGTTTAAGAAATGTCAAGCTGGAGAGTTGTTGAATTAAGAAGATATGTGTGTATTTTTTCAAACAAAATTTCTGAGAATTGAGTCCTTTGTAAAGATATGATGTTGGAGATAAGAGGAGTTAAGATACTAATCTGTATTTAATTCTTCAGAAAAAATTAGAGAAAGCAAGTTGACCATAGTAGATAGAGTTCAGGGCACGACACTAAATTCAACTGTCATACACAGCATAAATTGAAGCAACAAATTGTAACGGAATTTATGAGAAAGCTCATGACAGAACTGAATTTTTGAAACGTAACATCTGCATTACAGTTCAGACAGCCAATGAATCTAAGAAGACATTATATCTAAACATCCTATCACAATAAATTTTTATTTAATATGTGGAAAAAACTATCATTGTTTGCATTATAAGTCCTTATTTGATTTTATTTACTGTGGTACCTTTCTCCCACACTGAAATGGTTGATTGCCCACCAGCACTTACTGGGCACTTATCTCTTGTTTCCTGGAGCTAATTAAATACACACTGTTTAAATCAAGTCCTTTCATGAATTACAAGTTCCTTGATAGCACAGTCTATATCTCACCTTAATTTTTAAATTATTATTATCCAATCTAGTAGAGTATGATCCCATTTAAAACAATAAATTGGCCTGAAATAGGTTTTTAACAAATCCTGACACTACTACGCCTAAAGACTGAGGCCCATCAATAGAGAATAAAAAGTTGATTCCCAGCATCTATTGAAACCTCAGTACCAGGTATTTTAGCACAACAACAGGCTCACAAGATCCCTCACTTAGAGATGGATCATTACTCTTGTTTTTCTGGAAAGGAGTCAATAAATGTCCTCAAAAGCATATAGATGGGACAAGATAGAACTGGGAGTGGGTTTCAAACTTCCCACATTATATGCTATTTTTAATCATTCCAACATTAATGTAAACATTTTTTTCTTTTCTTATTTTTTTTATTTTATTTGTGAAGATACTGTACAGAGGGGTTACAATTACATGGGCAGGATAATGCGTACATTTCTTACCAAGCATTGCAGCCTCCTCCTTTTGTTTACCCTTCACATCCTAATGTAAACATTTTTAAGAAGACTATGTTTTCCTTTGTTATTCATAGGCCTGTGATTTTAAGAAATAAATGATCAATGTTTTAAGAATTCCCATACCTTACATTCTACTTGTTATCATGGAACATCTGTTTGAATGGATGAAGATGATAATACCTTGAAAAACATATGGCTAGTCATTTATAAGTGTTCTTTTTTCCTTCCCTTTATGGGCAAGGAAACACAGGTGTCAGGAAGTTGGTCACATGCAGACAGATGGTACCTGAGGCAGCGCTGGAATGAGGCCAATGGTTGTGGTTTCACTGCATCTGTATCTCATACTTTACAATTACATGAATCTTTCAGTGGTTAAAGTATATTGCACTTAACCTATTGGCTCCAGGTGTCCTTGATACCAAGTGTACTTCAAATATTTTCATCGAGTCACTTTTGTGCTCAAGTGTAATGGTCAAGAAAAAGAACTGAAGACAGCTTTTCCAGGATTCAAAATTGGCTCTAATGATTCTTAACTTACTTTCTCACTATTTAACCATTTTGGGCTTTAGTTGTTTTATCTATGATATAAGGATAGCAGTAATTATAAGTTTAATCATGCACATACATATATGCACATATACCCACATAAATATGAATTGTTTAATACATACACACATATATACACATATATGAGAAATTTTTGGAACAGTGACAGCAAACATGTACTATAAAAGGAAATGAAGTTGTTATTGTTGTCAAATCAATAACAACAGTGTCAACAGGGTCATTATTATCAATATTACTATTGTCATGGTAGTATAAAAAAAGCACTTTGCTGGTGGCTCATGTTTGTAATTTAGCTACGCAGGAGGCTGCAATTTGAGGAGAGCAGTTCAAAGCCAGCTGGGGCACACAAGTCAATACTACTCTTATCTCCACTTACACACACACACACACACACACACACACACACACACACACACACACCCCAAAAAGCGGGAAGTAGATTGGTAGCTCAAAGTGGTAGAGCACTAGTTTTGAGCAACAACAACAACAACAAAAAACTCTCAGGGGTAGACAGTTCCCAATCCCCAGTACCAACACACACACACACACACACACACACACACACACACTCACACACACACACCCCTTGCCAGATTATTGGAAAGGCAGATTCCAAAGTGAATAAAGACTTCATCTACCTGAGAACATAATCTATAGGAGCATATACACATAAAGAACTTGGAAGAACTGGTTGTGGTGGTTCATGCCTGTAGTTCTAGCTGTTTGGGAGACAGAGATCAGGAGGATCATGATTCATAGCTAGCTCTGAGCAAAATGTTTGTGGGCCCAGTCTTGACAGGAAAAGCTGGGTATCGTGGTGTACGCCTGTGAATCCAGCCAATACAAGCAGTATGAACAGGAGGACTGCTGTCCAGGCAGTCCTGGGCTAAATGTTAGATAGTATCTCAAAACTTATCAGAGCAAAAAGGCTGGAGCCATGGCTGAAGTGGGGGGATCATTGCCTCGAAGACACAATGTCCTGAGTTGAAACTCCAGTACATCCTCCTCCAAAGAACGAGTAAAGCCAGATCGTATCATACATACGTTACAAAGACCAAATGCTCAGAAACTGGTTTCTCCTTTAGGAAAGCCAGGTTTGTTCAAGTCAATGTTCATCCCTCATGTCAAATACACCCCAATTTTTGCCAGAAGATGCTTGTTATCTATTTATACTACACCATCCTTATTTACAGAAGAGCCTTGCATCTCCTCTTCCAGAAGTACTTGGTCTGGACTACTACTGCAGTTCTTATCTGACCATGTGGAAAAATGCCAGTTTGTCCTCAGAGACTATTGCTCTTCCAGTTAAAGCTCATTAACATTTGTACTTACGATCCCACCCCTTGCAAAGAACTTTGGGTGTAACTAGGTCTTTAATAAGTCATGCTTTCCTTTCAATTCTATTTAGAAGGGTAGAAAAGAACCAATGTCCCTTAACTTTGTGTAGTAAAATATTCTTGCTGTCTTACAGGCTACTGGGTCCCTGATAATCCTATAGTAGATCAAGGCCTTTGAAGGGCTCCTTGATTCATAAGATGTCCCTTCAGACGTTCTAAATCTGGATCAGGTGGCCTTGCAATTTACAGTGGTGGTCCAAGTTGACATTAGAGAAACCAATAGGGAAGGGAGAGAAGCCAAAAAGAACTCTTTAGGGTAGAAGAGCTATAAAAGTTACAGCCTCTGTTGACTGTGAGGGTAATAAGCTAGTTTAACAATTTTGACAGAATGCCGTTTAAAGATCCTTAGCAGTAGTATTTGGTCTAACAGTAAATTTGTTATGTCTACTTCTTAGCCAGAATAATTTTTTTTTCTGAACAAAATGATCCTTAGCTTTTAAATCCACAGACCCTTCTTTAGAGCTTTATCATACTTTAAAAAAGTGACAGGGTTTGGGTGAAGTTGGAAGACTCTGTTTGACTCCAGCCCCTACAAAAATGGGGTGCAGAAAACACGATCCCCAAGGTCCATCTGGTGAAGTTCACCAGGGAGCCCTACTAAAGTCAAAGATACAGGCCAGACACAGGTAGTCTGTGGGCAGGATAGGTGTTCAGGGCTGGCACAGAGCAAGGCAAAGAAGTTAGAATGGGGTAAGAAGTAGGAAGGAAGAGTTCAAGACGTGGCAGTCAGGCAGATGTCTAGAAATGGCTGGACAGGGCTGGAAATGCTCTTCACTTAATATTCCTTGCAATTAACAGTGAATTGATGTTTTGCCATGTAGACATATTTGGAAAGCTTTAAGTAGACCGTTTCTTTGCAAGACATATCTCTGCCAAAATAAGTGCCAAAGGGCTTTGTTCATCCCTAATGTACAGGCATTTTTGCAGGACTCTTCTTAATGAACATATGGGGTTAGACATATGCATGCTCAGACAGATGAAAGAGTATTCCCCTGGAGGGAGCCTTCCCTGATTCTACAGACTGTTGTTGTATTTTTATTTATATTACTCTCTTGCTTTGTGTTTCTATTTTTATCTGGTATACCTCAGAGCCTGGCCTAATATAAAGTACATAGTAGTTATTTAATGTTGAGTGAATTAAGCTTATTAGATTAATGAAGACCTCAGAGGATACATGGTTTAGTGAACCAGACTACAAAGAAGAAAAATTTCTATTATTTATCTTTTTCAGATCCAGGGAAATGTCATTACTTTTGGTGATGTCTTTGTCAGCGTTCCTTAGGAAAATGGAGGACCCCCCCCCCCCAAAGTACTGTAGCTTTTACAGCACATTGCATAGCTCACTATGCTGACTTCTACCCAACAGATCGCAGGTGCTGTTGGTATATATGTCACTCTTGATTTGACTGTGATAGGCTTGGAGAATTATTTCCACATAGATTTTCTATAGATTGCCTAGAACAGATTCGGGCATGTGGTAGGCTTAATTAACATTTAGTGAATGAATAAAAGTTTGATTGCTTAAAGGTCTTACTAATAAAGAGAACCTGAAAATGAACAGATGCTATTCTCTACAATATTCATATTATTCTCTGGCCCCAGTTCCAAAAACAGAGCTACTCAGACCATTGTGATCAGAGCCCCTGATTCTCATGGGGTGACTCTGGTAGGTTCCTGGGGAGCCTGAGGTTGCAGGGCCATCAACCATATGACTAGAGAACTGTACCTTCCATCCTCACTCCACCTTTGAAGAGGGGAGAGGGATGAAAGTTGAGCTCATCACTGATAATCAATTATACCAATGTGATGAAGCTGCCATGAAATCCCAAAAGATGGAGTTCTAAGAGCTTTCGGGTTGTTAAGTGTATGGAGGTTCCTGGAGTGTGACCTGGTAGGGAAGGCATGAAGTTCTGGGTTCCCTTCCTTATGCTGTGACCTATACATGATTTTCATCTGACTGTCA